ATAGTTGAAAAAGCCCAGGAATCAAGAGACCTAATCCCAGCCCTGGTCCTTGTGTTGTGACTGGGAACAAGTCACTGAACTTCTCTAAGGATTCAGATGATTCGTCCAGAAAAGCTGGGGGAGACCAGAGTGGCTACTGACCAAGCAATCAGAGAGCAACTGTATGATGTTATTACCCCATTTCCACTGCTAGTATGGCATCAATGGGCTATAAATTATTCCCCAAGACACAAAGGCTCAACCATTCACTCTTCTTTATTCAAAGCCATTCCACAAACCGTACCTCTAATTCTACTGCTCTTTATACTTAGGCTTGTCGTAGGCAAAAAGACTTCCGATTTGAGTAGGACTTACTAAAAAGCATAGTAAATTTACAGCCTCAAGTAACCTGAATTTAAAAGATTTCTGGGCATGAAGTCTCAACTCAAATGTTTTCTGATGCACAAATTAAGTGGAAACTATTAGACTGAAATCACTTTCAGCCACATTTTAAATATTTTATAGGAGGATATAGAAGTTGCTTTGGGAAAAGTTTCTAAAAAAAAAAAAACAAAAAACCTGACTCTCCTGGGGCACCTGGCTGGCTCAGTAGGTAGAGCATGCGACTCTCGATCTTGGGGTTGTGAGTTAGAGCCACACGTTGGGTATAGAGATTACTTAAAAAAATTTTAAATCCTGACTCTCCCAAGCTGGTATTTCAAGTTATTAGAAAATTACTAATATGCAAGTTTGTTCAAAGAAGTTTTCATTTTGTGAACTACTTGACAAAAAGGAAATTTCACTTTAGGAGGAAAATATGAACAAGCTACTTCCTTCTGGCTCCAAGAGCCATTTTTTTTTATATTGTGAAGAGATCTGTTGAGCCCAACTTTTAAACACTACTTCCTCCATAAAGCCTTCCCAGGCCATGGCAGTCAACTCTACAAATCCCTCCCGGTACCTAGCAATGTACCTTATACACAAAAAACACTAAGGACATTTTTTAAATGAATGAATAGTAGGTTGTTATGGAAGGGAACTCAATGGCAATCCTCTCACACAAGGGGTTTGGACCAGTAATTTAAGAATTGTTCTGGTACCAACCACTAGTTT